ATATTTATTCCAAGAAAGTGAAATTATTCAAAGTTATTAAGAAGATTGTTATTATTTTCATTTATCTTATCATTTTTTTATTAGATAGTCTATTTTGGTTTATTTAAACTATTTTATTTCAATTAATTCTATATGATTTATATTAATATCATTCATTGCAAGATTTTAGAAATTTAAATATTAATTATATTTAAACTTGTTTGCTTTTGAGTAACATATCTCCAACTGTTCACTACTTCTACGGTTCTATAGTTAGATAAATTCAATAAAAAAATCTCTTAACACGCCATATCAATATTCCCAATTATTCAAAAACAAAAAAAAGTTTTATTATTTATCTGAATGTATAAAACTTGTTGTTTTACTAAATGCATTATTATATATCTGCGTTATAGCGTTGAGTTTATAAATATACAATTTTATGCAAATATATGCAAAAGAGCAAGTTTACTTACTTGACAACCAAAATATACTATAAATTTTGCCAAATATACTTTAAAATTTGCCAAAAATTTTTATTTTTTCTTCCAAATGGATTTTTTAATTGTTTTAAATGTGGATGTATATACGAAGCACATATAGATACATATAGAGTACAATATATAAACTAATTTTATGAACTGAAATTTTAACAATATCTTACCGCTTGAAAAGGACTCATGTGAGAACGCTTTCACCTTATACGGTGATAAGTATTGATATTGAAGCTATAGGCATGTAAATTTGCAGACAATCGTAATTGATAAAATAATAAGTGTGGAATTTATTATTATTATATTTTATATATTTATTTTTTGTTTTACTCATCAATTATTATCAAGGAAAATTCTTCCAATGTGAAACTGTAAAGTGATTTAGTCAGACTTAATATGGGTCTTAATCTGTGGGTATACGCTTGGTAAAATTACCAAGCCAAGTTACCAAGGCATCAAATAAAAGCAGTGGTAGAGTCGGTTAAAAGTTGAACGTAAAAGACTAAAGTTCAGGGTTTGAACCGAATTTTCTGTAAAGATTCCATTTTCTTTGTTTAATATTTTCACATTTTAATTTTTTTAAAATGATTAAACTTTAATTTGTCAAAAGATTTTAATAGAATTTTTTATAGCAATTTCTTAGTAACTATCACTTATCACTTACGAGAGCATATTTTTACGTGAATACAGACGTCATGCAAGACATTTGACACATCCAGTTTTCAAAATAGGTGCGTGAAAAAAGTTTTTGAAAACATTTTACTCATTCATTTGAAAATGTTTTCAATGATTGCTATTATTTCGATCGTTTGGTCTTTGGGTATGTCTCAATTAAGGATCGATCAGTTCACAACTGGGATGCCAAAAAGTTGTCAGTAGAAATGTTTCTTAAAATACAGCCTTGAATTAAAACATTTCAATAGTATGGAAACAGTACTATTTTTTCTTCTCATACTTACTAATATTACTAACCGGCAGTGCTATGTGTAGTACTAGTCTACGACACACAGTGTGTGGGTTTGAATTCCACTTAGGTAGGGGTTTCAGACACGCTTTAAATTTTGTTCAAAAAAATTCTTTGTAGCTTTCTGTTAAGGAATAACGCTTCAAGTATGTTACACCTTAACTTCGCAATAATGCGTATTACAAAGGCTACATAAATGTTTAATTCTTTTGGTATCGCTAGGTATCAACCTAATCTACTATTTCTTCTACTTTGTAAATAATAATTTATAATGCATATATTTTATTACAGTTATCTCACAGAATGTTATGATGAACTTGGTACGCAGTACAAGGTACCCATTTATTGCTTATCGTATCCTATAAATATTGTCAGAGAAGAAAATGGTCGAGACTCACCTGCTGAATATTCTGAGCCCGTCGATGGTGGCGCAGAAGTGGTACTGAAATTAAGAATATCCTCAACAATGTCTGATATTAAATTAGCAGTTTACTCAAAGGATACAATAGGTCAATGCAAAAAGAGATTACAGGTAATAATGAAATACTTACAATTATTTTTGAATTATTTTATTTTTAATTAAAATATTTTTTTTTATTCTTCTTTAGGCTACGGAATCCATAGATACATGCTGTCAACGCTGGTTCTATAGCGGTAAGCTGTTGGGTGATAAAGTACCAATCGAAGAGTGCAATATCACTAATGGTTATGTGGTGCAAGTGATTGTTAATACGGAGCATGATAACCATGATAACAGCACAAGTATTGTAGCTGCAAGCTAGCCAAAAATTATAGCCATCTATCAAAGTCATATTGCAGAAATAGGAAAAGTAAGACGTGCAACTATTAAAAATGAAATCAAGGCAATATTAATTGCAGCAACAGCAAAAATTATAACAAAAACTACTAAACCATTAACAACAATTACAACAATTACAACAATAATACTAATTGCATTAGCAAGGCACGGCACTATATGAAAATGTTTAAATAAATAGTGCTGCCTTGTGAAATGGAAATACAGTGAAGCTGAGCGGCTTGCACAAAAAATTAATTGTTTTAATTGCATTTATATTATTACATTTTTTTTACAATTGAAGCGCTCATTGCTCATTATTAATGTATTTTTTATTTATACATATTACTAAATTACTATCATTGGTGTTGTTGTAATTGTTGTTGTTTTTTGCTGTTGTCCATTGTTTGCTTTACAATTTTTTAAAACGAAAATAAATGAAGTAACAATAAATCACGAAAATTTGGAAAATAAATTTGTACACTGAACTAAATTTTTTATGCTTTTTATGTTTATTATATATACATATATATATATATAAAAAATGTATATGTAAATACATTTTGAAAAGTTCAGCTTTAATATAATATGTTATTAAATTAATTATTTTGTTATATCGAAAATAGAAACTGAATCAATTATCACATAGCCACAAAAGAAGCAATGAAACAACTTAAAGCAATTGCGCCAAATTAGCACTTTTTATTTGTTTATTTTTTAAAAAATATATTTACTGTATGTGTGTGTGTGCAAGTGCTACAATTTATATAGTTATTTGTTTTTTACCTTAAGCACAAACAATAATATTAAAAAATTATTTTATTGCACAAAGACACTTTATTATGATTTTTGCTCAAAGTTTATTAGCAATTCCAAGTACCTTTTATGTAAATTATTAACATTGATGCAAAATGTTATTATTTTGATAAGTAAAATTAATAATAAATACATTTTATTATATGTATATGTTGTGAATTAATTTTTTTTGTACAACATATTAAATTAGTCATAATGTTTGGTTATGATTTTTGGCAAAACTACGCAAGTTAACATAATAAATAACAAAATTTATTTAAAGCGGCTGGTACGTTAAACAAGCGAAAACGTTAAAAGCTTATGATATTTTAAATTATTATTTAATATATATAATTATTTCTTTAATATTCAGATAATTAACTAATAATACTAAAACAAAATCCCAGTTAAATTTATTTTATATTAAAAACTTTATTTAAAAGTTATTAAGTGTATGCACAATTTTTTGTTTTTTTTTTCGAAATAAAATTAAATATTTATAAATATTTAATAAAAATAAGAGTTTTGTAAAATTTAAAAATATAAAGAAATTTCAATATATGATAACAATAATATTTTAATCAAAATATAATAAAAATAAACATGTATAATAGAAGTGATAAAATTAATAAATATTGAACACATAAAAAAATTAATTATATAATAAAAATGTAACAAACTTTTCAAAAAAATCTCGGTGTAATTAAAATAATATAATAAAAAAATAAATATGAAAATAAATATAATATATAAGAAAATAAAATAAATATAATACAAATGAAAATATTATAAAAGTATAACAAAATATAATATAATAATAATTTATAAGAATTAATAGAAATCAAAATAGAAATATAAAAAAAATTGAAATAAAAAATGAGTTTTGTGAATTATAAATAAAAATATAAATACTCCAAATATAATAAAAACAATAATTTCATAATCAATAATTCAAATACATAAAAAAATGGAATTTGTAAAATAAAAATAAAAATATAAAAAATACAACTATAATCATTACAATAATCTAATAATTAATAATTGAAATCTAAACAAGAAAAAAATTCAAATATAATAAAAACAATAATTTAATAAAAAAATTGTATATAAAGGAGTTTGTATTTAATAAAAATAAAAGAATAATTATGTGAAAATAATATGATAAAACAAATAATTTATGCATTATACAAATATTAATGAAAGAAAATATTTAAATGTTAATTATTTTGTGACCAAACAATATTAATACAGTGTTTTTTCTAGGCTAATTGGTCAAAATTTTTTTTATTGTTTTTTAATTTATTTTTATTTTTTTAAAAAAACTTAAAAAAATTGATAATTTTATAAAATAAAAAATTCAAATATAAAAATATAAAAAACAAACACTGTAATATAAAAAAAATTATATGTATTCAAATCGATAAATTTTTGAAATGAAATATCATATGTAATGAAAATAATAATTTAAAAAAAAAATTTAAATATAGTAAAATAAAAATATGATAAAAAAATAATAAAATTAAAAATATAATACAAAAAAAAATGTAATAAATATAAAAAACAATAAAAGTGGAAATAAAAATATTTATAAATTTAAAAAAACAATTTAAATATAATACAGTTGTTGTATAATAAATATATAATTAAAGTATAAATGAAATGAAATAAAAATGTAATAAAAATTAATATATAAACACATTGAAATTAAAATAAACTAAAAATTGAAATATAATAAAAATAAATATATAATTAAAATATTAATATATTGAAAACAAAAACTTAAACGCTAAAATGGTTGAATAAAAAAATATTTTAAGATGCGTTTATAACTGAAAAGATAGTTCGAAACTATATGTATTCATGTGAGCATATATATGATTATTTTTAAATATTATTAATGTGAAAACAAAACAAAACACAAAAAAAAAAAAAGAAAACGAATATAAAAAATATTTGTATTGTTTTTATAAAATAAAAATAAGAAGTGCAATTATAATTGTCTTTTTTCAACTATTTTAAATACTCATGAACGTTATAAATGTATTCAGTATTTCAATTACGCACATCCAACTTTTGCAGCAAAGTTAAAAATGAGAATGCTGTGGCCATAATCTGAAATGAATATGTGTAAAATATAAATTTAAATGAATAAAATGAACTGTATATCATTGTAAATGTTTGTTTCTTTTCTAAATTATTATTTATTTAAATGATTATATTTTATAACGAATATTATAGTAAAATGTATAGAGCGACTGTTTCGAATAAAATAACAATAGAGCAATATAAACAATTTGTTATGGACAATTAATTGATATTTCATTAACATTTAGCATTTTATTATTAGAAATGACAATGGTACATTCTCGTTTATGATATATATTGTGCAATCTCTGACTTAAACGGCTATTAGTGCTATTGATAAACCTTACAATGAGTTCAGGTTTCAAACTTCTTTCAGTTTGATCAAAGTTGGATTAAATTACAAGAATCGAATTCTGACAATCGCAGAATAGAGGGAAAAATATTAAGCAGGGCTTCAAATCCACCATTTCATACTATTTACCAGTGTCAATTCTTAAACTCATCTTTGAAAGGTGATATTTAAGACGAACATGCCAAGCTACGAGATTAGTATTATGTTTTCAAATTTTTTTATTGAGAAACTTACTAGCATATTAATTATTATTAGTTTGTACCAACTTTCGTTCAAAACATATGCTCAGAATAAATTCGGCTATTGTTTAGGTCGGAACTTAAAATTGTAAAGTATATTTTTATAGAATATTCAGTTTGCCATTGAGTCCTAATATCTAAACTTCTTTTTATTAAGTAAGGGCTAAGCAAGTTCAGGAACCACACACACCGATTTTTTAAGGAAGGGTATGACTCAACAAATAGTTCCAAATCAATATTTCTAAGTATTGAAGCAGTCTGAAAAGAGTGAAGACCCGCCGGAAACCTTCGCACTTTGCAAAGAGAGATTTGGCACCCTCTAAATTGTTAAGAACACTTTATAGATTTCTGAATGTCCATATAAATAATATGTGTGGCGTTTTTTAACGCTTTTCGAAGTATTCTGTAAAACAGATTACAAGGGCATATAAAATTGAAAGGCATCTTGGTGAATCTTGGTTCATGGATATCAATAGCTGTTTCTCTGTTTTTTAGTTTTAAATATTCGTTAACCTAAACGTATGTTTGTACTTTTCGGATATTGAGTTCTTTACGAATAATAAAAATAAAAATTTCATCTTCGACTTCATTTTTATAATTTGAAATTAAGTATTATTTGAAAACTTATTCTGACTTCCTCATCTCCGCTTTTTACAACATCAATCCAGTTAATCATTAATCGAGAATTTATGTTTATATTTAGGTTAACGATTATTTAAAACTTATTATAAATACAGAAGATGGGAGGAGATGGGAAACTCAGATTTAAATTAAAAAAATGTTATCTTCGACTTCGATGAGCATTTTTTGTTCTCAAAAATTTGAAGTAATATATAAAGCCGATTCCATCTTTGAAATTATAATAATAATCACATTATCTGCATACTTTTGGGTTTTTAAACCAGTACTTGTTAGAATTTCAACAATCTTATCAATCACAATTGAGAAGACAGCAATCTTCCTTGCATAAAGTATAACTATAATACCTTACGTATATTGCTAATTACTTCAATTTATGATCATTGTGAAAACAAAAAGTTTCATATGGATCGTCTCAAAATTAAGGCTTTTTTAAGAAATTAGAATTTCAATGACATGATTTTTTTTTAATTATATCATTATAATCATTCATTATTTACTTACTGCTGTCCTTCTCTCCTAAGTGGAGCATAGGGCCTTATTCATAACATCATTTAAATTTTATTATAGAATTTTAATAACTTAAAGTATATATTTACGCACACACTCTCTAATTAAAATATACATTTAATTTTAATTATATAAATTATATGTTTACTTACTCCACGGAAACGATCTACATTCAGTACATAAATTTTTCCGGCTGTCAATTTGAATGTCCTTTGTGAATTTAATAAAAAGAGTAAAAAATCCATTTTCATCTCTCTCAAATGTAAGTACCAAGGACTTCTCAATAGAGCTTCTCCACAACGTTGACTATTTAAATAAATAATTTCTCCAAAATAGCAAATTATTAACATTTCCCAGGCTACCAATAGTAAATATTGACCCAAAGAAACTATTTTCATAAAACTGGAGTTTGCAGTAGTTGACTATTATACGTATAATATAGATATAATAAAATAATATTTTTTTTTGTAGGAATTTAAGGCTCACCTTCACCGAAACAAATGCTACTAAGCACATTAAAAATATAACCTCTCCGGTTTTCAAGAACCAAATTGGATTATAGAAATATTCCATTTTTTGTAAGGCCTTTATGATATATCGATGATGTTGTACGCAAGACTTAAATGCTGCTCTGAATGCAGAATAAAAATTTTCAGCTGTACCCGTAGTTGTAAAAGTTGAGTTCAGAATTTCATTATTTTGAAGTTCCACAGAACAGTAATACTGACTGGGTTCCTTATCGGCGATTACTTGGCTTTCACTTAGTTTTCTAATAAATAAGAATATTAATAGCTATATCAAGTAATTGTTAGGAATTTATTCGAATTTATTAAAAAAAATATACTTTAATTCAGATCGACTTGCTCCTAAATTGATATAAGCTGTCGCCATTACATTTTTAAGACTGCAATAGAGTATATCATATTGACCAGATATGAGTATAGCTAAAACCATATGAAATCCACTCGAAGCTGAAAATGCCGCAGCGACTTGCAATTGCCCAATGGCTTGGAAAAAGTACATTGTTTCATATATCAAGGGTTCCTATAATAAAAATAAATACATAATAACATCAATAAAAGTTACAAATTAATTTCAAGAAGAAATTTAATTTTTG